TCAAAAAGCTGCACCATGGGCAATCAAAAACTGTACCATGGGAAATCAAAAGCTGCACGATGGGCAATCAAAAAGCTGCACCATGGCCAATCAAAAAGCTGCACCATAGGCAATTAAAAAGTGCACCTTGGGCAATCAAAAAGTGCACCATGGGCAATCAAAAGCTGCACCATGGGAAATCAAAAGCTGCACCATGGGAAATCAAAAAGCTGCACCATGGGCAATCAAAAAGCTGCACCATAGGCAATCAAAAAGTGCTCCATGGGCAATCAAAAAGTGCACCATGGGAAATCAAAAGCTGCACCGTGGGCAATCAAAAAGCTGCACCGTGGGAAATCAAAAAGCTGCACCATGGGCAATCAAAAAGTGCACCATGGGCAATCAAAAGCTGCACCATGGGAAATCAAAAGCTGCACCGTGAGCAATCAAAAAGTGCACCATGGGCAATCAAAAAGCTTCACCATGGGCAATCAAAAAGTGCACCATGGGCAATCAAAAGTTGCACCATGGGAAATCAAAAGCTGCACCGTGGGCAATCAAAAAGTGCACCATGGGCAATCAAAAAGCTTCACCATGGGCAATCAAAAAGTGCACCATGGGCAATCAAAAGCGGCACCATGGGCAATCAAAAGCTGCACCGTGGGCAATCAAAAAGCTGCACCATGGGAAATAAAAAACTGCACCATGGGCAATCAAAAGCTGCACCATGGGCAATCAAAAAATGAACCCGGGGCAAAACCCGAATTAAGGCGCGGTCTCCACCAATTTAAAAAAAAAAAAAGATCAACACACATTTTGCATGAAGTGTGATGATTTAGGCGCCCTTTGAAGATGGCGCCTGGCTCGAGTGACCCCTTCTCACAGCCCTGGTCTTGCTACCGTTTATTTAACTTTCTTGGTCTTAACTGATTTAGATCAGTAAAGTTGTCCCCCCCCCCTCCAACCCAACCACACAAACTATCTCAGTATTTGGACATGAATGTATCGCCCTTACCCGCCATGTCACCAACTATCTCAGTATTTGGACATAAATGTATCGCCTTTACCTGCCATGTCACCATGAAATGATCAGAAATCAGAGAGGCAAATTTTTAAATAGCATATCCAAGTGGTCTGAAAACACTTGTAAGATACGATCTTACACCTTTTTTTCTTCGTCTTCTAGCACAGGCAGAAAAATGATGACGCAACACACGATGAATAAAGTATGTGATGTTTGAAATAAAAGTAAAGATGACAGATAGGGTTTAAATAACAATACCATTGAAATCAGTCTCTTGTAATTTCCTCGTTAGGTGTAAATTTAAATATTCAAGCTTGAATACTGAAATTTTTAACAAATCGACCACAATATGTCAAAGTAAATAACCAAGCATCTCTAACCAGAGAAATAAGCTATAAAAAAAAAAACATTTCCATTTGTTTGGATCAATAAAAGAATCTTATCTTATCCTATATGTTATCTTATCTCAACATATTTAGTAAATATATATATCGGGTCAGTTGGATGCTTTAGAATTTCTTTAGAATATTAGGCGAGCAATGAAGAAAATATTTGCAAAGACAACAAGAATGTCAAATAATTTAAAATTAAATAGCCCCTAAGAAAAGATTTTCCTTAAAATCTTTTATAAAATTTAATATCGAAAAACGTGGGATGGGACTGAAAAGTGAATACAAGTAACGCCTTTTAAAATAATCCCTCCCCCCCCCCCAAAAAAAAAAATANCCCCCCCCCCAAAAAAAAAAAAACCCCCCCCCCCCCCCGCTCACCACCGCACATTTTTTTTCATATCCCTGAAATTTATTGATATTGGAATGACCCACCCCCTTTTACACCACAGATTTATTTCACCAACTATTTCAGATAATAAAAATAAGATATTACGCACCAAACGTACTTGCGATATCTCTTTTTAAAGAATCTTATTTAGCGCAGTTATTGGGAGTTTTATTTCGTGAAATTATTGTCATTATATTTCCTTCGTCTTCCCCTGGGAAAAAAAAAAGGGGGAAAAAAATTGAGGGGCTGAGCTGAAAATTAGAAATAATGTGTTATCATCGGCAACGAGTCTATGTGCCAAGTTTCATCTCAACAGCTTGACGGGAATTGGGTTAATTAGCCGTCTGAAAAAATAATATAATGCTACCGGATACACTGACATATCTTGCAACATGACATACTGACTCACCACTGACATACCCCACTCACTAATGTCACGACACACTCATTAACACCACTGACTAAATCACCACTCAACTCACCCGACTCATTAATGGCATAACTGACACACCCAACTCGCCACTGAAATAGTCCACCCACCATAACCACAGGTATATCTAACTACCGATTTAATGAAAACAACGAACCATTAGCCTCATGCAATCATTTACCCCCCCCCCCCCCCCCCACCCGAGTATCCGTTCGGTCGATTATATTCCAATTTCTGACAGTGAGGTGGTGTACCCGTCATGAAATAGGGTGTGTTTGTGCTACCGTTACATGAACATTCACTCTCCACTCCGCTGTGCCAAACAATAGCCACCAATAATCAATAACATCATGCCGTCAATATATCAATCTGTGTGCATTGGACGGCAAACAAGTCGCGCAGTCCTTGGCAACACAGGCATCAGAGAATTTGGTTTGAAGAGTTCGACCGCGCGGCAGTCCCTGTTATTTTCTTTCACATCGTTACATTTTCTTCAGCCAAAACAAATTTGAGGTCGAAATTTCTAGTCGAATTTAAGTTATTTTAAAAACTATTTTGAAAGCTGCATTCTAATTATTTAAATCACGGGCAGCTAAAAAATGTAAAAAAAAATCAAAAAAAAAAAAAAAAAATTACCAAATGGTAAAAAAAAAAAAAAAAAATTTTAAAAAATCAAACAAAAAAAAAAAAAAAAAAAAAAAAAAAGAAAAAAAAGATTAAAAACCAAAAAAAAAAAATTTTTAGTGAAATTTAAGTTATTTTAAAAACTATTTTGAAAGCTGCATTTTAATTATTTAAAACACGGGAAGTTAAAAAATGTAAAAAAAAATCAAAAAAAAAAAAAAAATCATTGCCTCGTGGTTAAATAAAGAAAAGTTAATTTTGACAAATCCGGCCACAAAGTCATGACTTAAGATGCTAAAGGAAAAAGGGGTTTAAAACCGAAAACTAGTTGATGATTTTCACAAACCGGTCACCGATTTAAAAAAAAAATAATCATAATTTTAAAAAAAATCCAGAAATGCTTTTTAAATTTTTAAAAAATAAATTAAAAAAATAATATTTAAAAAAAAACAACTGTAAGTGAACACTTAATGCATACATTAGTTTCAGGCATCGCGTATCAAACCAAACCACACGCTTAAACGGGGTTAGCAGAATTTGAGGAAGGTTACGTCCGAAAATAGATGATTACCTCTTAGGTCTATATGAAATCCGAGATCGCTTTGTTTTTACACGCGTGTGGTCTAATGTCAGTTTAAGAGATGGCGTAGATACAGATATCATCATCTCAGCAAACACTCAAAAATTAACAATGCTAATATTACCATTTATTTCATACCCAACTCATGTGGTTCAGTTCCAGCTAGAAAGCAGTTCAGGGTATAAAATATTTAAAAAAAAATTGGAATCAAAATTAATTATAAAAAAAATTTGACTGGTCGTATTAACAAATCTGATGTCTGGGAATTCAAATAACTTCCACACGCTGGCCAGGAGTTTGGTGTCAGGCAACAACCTCACGCTGCCTTAGGTTTTGGTGTGACGGGTCAAGTACTAGAACCAGTTTGCCTCAATCTTTGATGGACATTGAAAATGATAAAAAGTCCTTTAAGAACCATTTAAAGACTTTTTTCTTTGAAATAGATTTTAGGACATAAGAGCGCTGCGAGCATTATAAGTAACATGGACACAAGCGCTATACAAATCATCATCATCATCAAAATCGTACTATAGTGACAGTGGCTTTGCGATATCCAAAAATTGATTTTTATACTGCCACTTACGAGGTCATATGACCTTGTTGTGAGGACAGATGAATGATTAGAAAAAAAAACATACTCTAATGAAATCCGATTTTTAACTTGTTTTTTAAAAAACCAAAAAACCGGTTTATAAAGAAAATCCGGTTCTAACATCCCTAGTATTGACTACTGAAATTTTGAAGCGATTTTCAAGCCAACTGTGACTGGTTACAGTCATAATGGAAGAGGGAAAACTTATTAAAATCACTAACTCTCAAATAACTGATTCAATTAATTTCCTCTATGTCACAGCTTTCAATGAGACCAGTTATGGCTTTCAGGTAAATCAAATTAGAGCCGAAGGGGATATAACTCAAAGACAGTCATGGTATTGAGATCACAAAGAGTTACAACATTTGCGCAAAATATAAATCAAGTGGCGTTGGCTAATATTTACTAAACAAAATCAAATGTATAAACTGGAAAATTTACGTGTGATCGGTTATCATTTTAATGAAATTCGGTTAGAAAGCGCAGTGTGTGCTCTGTAAATATGCAAATTTTTCATTTTGGTGTCACCCCCTGAAATGGTGTCACCCGGTGCGGTCCGCACCCCATAGCTACATCACTGCCAAAGGTTTTTGATATTCACAGGTTTATAGGAAAAATAAAATATTTTTTTTTTGGAAGGTCACTGTTTTTTTTTTATGAACTAGACGCGGCTTTTGCTAATTATCAATGTTTTACACAATGCCATCAGACCATTTTTATTTTGAATATATTGATAAAAATCTGTAGGCCCAAGCATTAGCGTCATTTCAGGTTTTTTTCAGGGGGGGGGGCAAAACCAAAACTTGGTCGGCTTGTTAAGTACTGGAGGCACCACAGTACATATCAATTGAAATAAAACCTGCAAATGCCCCACCTTACCCTAACCACATGACGTTCCTGGGCCAAAAGTGATCATCGACTAGAGTAAACGTATGTTTAATAACATGGCTCCAATTTTATTTTTGAAACGGAACTTCGTCCAAAAGAAAATGAATACACCGGAACGGCTACACACGTTTTCGTTTTATTGTATCCTTCCGTTGTGAAGTGATGAAATAGTTTTTTTAATCGCTAAGCTAAGGCCTATTTATAAACATTTCTAGGAATATTTACAAAAAGGACGCATTTCAAAATGAAGCTTTACTCGGATCGAGGCAATTTTCAGACTTTGAAAATATCTATAGCTACCAGGCTTACTGGAACAGCATCGGAAATTCTTGCAATAGAAGTGAAGCACGGCGGTAATTAGCGAAACTTACACTTAACATCTGTTATTTATTTTCATACCCAAGCTATTTATCATTTAATACTTTATCTAGACTATAGGCAAAGGCCATACTATGCCATAGCGATAGGCTTAGTTGCCTATGGCAGCTATGCTTTTTTGAGGCTCTGGTCCTAGTGACGTTGTTTATGGATGGCCTCATGCCATAATTATATAATTTTTAATTCTGATCTAAGACTGACTAAGTTTATTAGTACAGTATTATTAACGAGAACACTCCACTATTATTTACTATTTATAAACGAAGTGTCTACATGTCCGGCGACCGGACGAATAATTCTCGAGATATTTGTCCGGCGACCAGGTCACTTGACCGCCGTAACAAATTTGGACGAGATATCTGTCCGCCAGTCTTGTCATGTGACCCCTAATAGTTGGTCATAAAATGGCATCGGAGATGGATGGGGGCATGACCCACTACAGTAGGTCGTAATGGGGGGCAACGAGTATAGACTTAATTTTAAGAAATAAATTAAGGCTAAGGGGTGGGGGGAGTAATGCATACGAGAAGGAAGAAATACTGAGAAAGAAAGGATAAAAATGATCATTGATAGTGAGGGTGATAAATAATTAAGGCGGGGATGTGGAAAGCTCACAAAGAAATAGACACTATACTATATCTTAACTGATTACCTACCTGTTTGAAAAACCAACAGTGGCCGAATTAAATCTAAGTCACATTTTCTCATTTTAGGTGTATGTACAAATTCAGATGCAGTTTTCTTAGTTATAAACATATTCTAATGATTAATAAACCATTTTTGTAGGTAATTGAATTGTCTATAATGATAAGAAAAACTTAAAACATTTGAAAAGTTAAGTTTTGTTGTGAAATTATTAATTGTTAAATTAGTATTTACTAAATAATTTACAACAGAAAAACAATACAAAAAATATATAAATGTCCCAACTGACGTAAAAATTTAAATTTCCAATAATTTAAAGCCTTTTATTTGGTGGTTTCCAAATAGTATATCCAATAATAAGAAAAATGCACCAAAGAACACAGAAATTGAATAATATTTAAACTTCCAATCACTTATATGCCTTTAGTAACCCTGTCACTTGTTGCCAGGGTAAACAAGTAGTACAATTCTGTAACTAGCTTGGAAATGAAATCAAAATTAATTAACAACTTGTTTTTTAAAACATTCTGCCAATATCATGCTGTTCGAATATAAACATCCTGTCGGTAAACTAAAATCTCTAAGCAAAACAGGGAGAAAAATAATATAAATATTTGACTAGATTTACTACGATACAAATATTGGTGCTACCAGAGGCTCGTGGCCATAATGAAAGAAACGCCAAGCCGCTCTCATCTGCTTATGGTAGTTAACCAGTTAATATAGGGCCAATGTATTGTGCTGTTGGGGTTGCCTACTTATCACGCAATATTAATAGCTTAAGATAAAACTTTTTTTGACAGTAGATCTATTGACAAGTCAACTGTCAAGTATTGGTCATATTTTCTTTGGTTCATATTTTAAATTTAGGCTATTAGGTAGAGCTTTATAAGATATTTAAACTGAGATAACAGACTTTTAAAAATTTTTAATTTTGCCGGTGACCTCTTGTCACATGACATGCAGCTCCGACGTAGTACCCCCATAGCCATTATGCAAGTGACAGTGAATGGCTGCCCATGACAACATTTTGCACATGGCAAATTATGATCATTTATAATATGGACTCAACCGGGTTTTTAAACCTCGAATTAAAACATATTTATTTAAATGTCTTCTAGGTTCATTCTAAAACACAAGTCGTGTATTTTACGGAATAAATAATTATGTTTAATTATGAAAAACTTGTTTATTTGTTGTTTGTTATTTCTTCCTATGGAGTTCAAATGCCGGCATTTGCACATGGGGATCAAGATAACCGAGGCTAAGTTGCAAATTCGGCTGCCTTTTGTGCTCGAGATATCAGGGTTTGGAGACATAAAAGAATCGATATAACCAAGGAGAAAATGCTAAGACAAAGAGAGAATTTGGCGGTTCTACTGCAAAAACGTCGACATGACAGGGTTGGCAATTTAACCGAGGTCCAGTTAAGCGCGTTCGACTGTATATATGTAATAATATAAGAAATTGTTCAAAATGCAGTTAGTGACAGGGCCCGCAGTGTCTTTCATGGTATATGGGTCATGGATGTTTGCAGTTCAGCTACCAGCCATAGTGCCTGCCTCTTTCAAAAGGTTTTGAATTTTAACTCTGTATTTATTTGATACAAGTTTTTTTTCTTCTCATTTTTATTATTTTTCTTGAAGGTTGAGGGGGTGGGGTGATATGAATGATAGAAATGTGATGACATGATGTAAAAATAAATGAATAGCATTCAGGTACTTGTTTTTTTGAACCAATCAAACAACAGCACTTTTAAAAATGTGTGCATCTTTTCTTTGATGTTTATCTTGTGATACAGACAAGGATGAGCTTCTTTTTTAAAATTAATTTTGAAACTTTTAAGTTGAATTTTGATTAAAAAATGTTAACGTAAATTAAATGCATAGATAGATTTAGTTTATGACGTAAATAATGCTCAATAAAGAATGGGAAAATTATACACATCGCTCAGGATCAACTATTGGTCTCTGCACTCTAAGTCTAATGTTGGGATTCCCCAAAGTGATGTCCTTGCGCTTAGGGTAAGACAACGCTTGGCAAGGCCCATGCCACTAACTACACTTTTACCAAAAAAAAACTAATGTCACAAAAGAATATGATCTTTAACCCCCTAGTCCCCTCACCCAGTCAAAAACGTTCAACATCACACTTTTTGAGACTTTATTCCCCCTCTGAAGAGTGACATCCTTGATGAACAAACCCTGGCTTAGCATGTCGTTAACCATAATGAAAATAAGCGATAGGAGTTAAAGACACTTATATATTTATTAGATAAAGTTTTAATCTTATGTTAATAGGATGTTGTTTGTGAAAAGGTGAAAAAAGTAGGTATCAGTATAATTACACTAAAAAATTGAGCTCTGTGAATCACAATATATACCCAGGGCACATTGCATCCTGTCAAGTCAATTCATATAAAGTAATAAAAAAAGAATTAACTCCCAGAGGCTACACCACTTCTTGTCCTAGCATTCCTTTTGGTGAAATGACTCTACACCAGTGTCAGTACAGGTGGCCAAACTAGATGGCTTCACTGGCCATTTTGATAGTGATTCAAGTCATCAAGTCATTTAACTTATCATATGAAATAAAGACCAAATAAATGCTGTATGTACATAATTATTTATTTATCCTTTAAATGCAGATTTCTCAAGATCATAACTTTTTTCCTATGAGCCACTCACACACATGAATAAATTTAATAGATGTTACTTTAAAAAAAAAAAATATTAATTTGAAATGTACGTTTATAACAAGAATGAAAAGAAGTTCAATGTAAATTTTAAAAATAAAAATTTCACAAGGATAAATTCGGCTGGCCTCAGGTTGGCCATCTGGGGGTTTCAAAAAAATTATGATAAATGGAACTCCAAGCCTCACTGACTAAAACAATGCTTTACCCCGCAATTAAAAAGTTGATTCCTTTAAAAAAAAAAAGAAACTGGTTGCACTTTGATTGTACAAATTCTCACTTGGTCATAATTCATATCAATTTGTTTTCTTTCAGAGAGTATAGTTCCATACCTAAGTAGATCAAAACTACCAGTACTAGAAGTTACAGAAGGCAAATATTTATTTTCTGCCAATACTGCTGCAAAGTAAGTTTTCAATACACTTCAAATTAGTTGTTTTGTTCCTATTATGCTTCCTTTATTGTTTTTTATTTGTTCCATTGTAGCCATCCGAATGAGACTTTCTCTTTTATTATCTACCAAAAATACCAGACTACACAATCACTTGTACACGGAATAGCTGCAGAGAGGGTGCACATTTTTCACCATGACCTCAAGCTGAAAGGGCACACGTGTCTAGGCTGCTGCTAGATCAGTTTGATGATGGTGTACCACAGTACAGTTAATAATATGACATAGTCTAAAGTTCAATTCATTACTTATTACATTAAAATAGGCCTACATCAAGGACCATAGGTACTAAAACTATGAATTGATGAATTTATATTAATTTCCCCTCATGAATACATGCTTCTTGTAGCAGAACTAGTATAATATTAATACAATCAGTGGCTAGCAACACAAATAAGTCTTACTTGCCTCCATTTAGTGCTTTGTTTTAATGGAGCTACTCTCTAAATATTTGAAATGTGTAATTTATTTGTATAAAAGGATTTTCTATTGATCTCTTCCTTGGCTCTAAGTAGCAATTCTAACAGCCCTGAAATGAATATACTAGCTGATCACATATGAAATATACCTGCACCAAAATCATACAGATTCTATAAAAAAAATTTGTGTGGACTTATCACTTTCATTTTGTTTCAAGGTACTTGTTTCTGAAAGCAAACCAAGTGAACGATGAGAGTGCTGAAGATGAGATTTTGGACTGGGAGTTTACAGAATTGTTGGTTAGTGTCTCCTTTTATCATTTATTGTTTGAATAATCCCGGCTGAGGAGTCAGGGGTTTGTTTTTCAACCTGACCCTTTACTGCTGGTGTACTATTCTGATTACTTGCAAGGGTTCTGAAATTAATGTGTTATCACTGAATGTCACTATATCTAGTTTTCTGGAAATTGAAAACATACATTTATTTAAGAGTTTTGGAAATTTGTGTGACTGTAAACAAGGAGGAAGATCCCAAAACTCCTCAGACCTAGTTAAAATATGGTAAAAAAGGGAAAGGACCTTAAAAACTAGTGTTCAAACTACATAGGGCTAGTTTCATGTCAAAAACCTTTCCCCCCCCCCCCCCACCTTTATCACAGGTGGTTTGATCATATGTGGGTAAAGGTTCCAACCTCTAAGAGGGCCTCATATAATCTTTTTAACTATTAGAGTCTCATTATAATTACTCACATTTTTATTTACCAACCTTATGTTATTTATGTTAAATTCTATCTTCAACTTCCCAAGGCTTTACCCTTTACCTAGTGCCACACCTTAACTGTAATTTACTTAAACTTATTAAACTGATCTCTTCCTCTTCAGCCTGTGGTCGCTGCTTACTTGGTGAGTGCTATTGGCCACGGAAAGAAAGACCCTGCTCTGACTTCCCCACTAACTAAGTTACTGCAGCAGTTGGATGCCAAACTGACCAAAAACAAGTATCTGCTTGGGGTAACTAGAAAAGTTTTGGTTGTTGCACAATGCTATATATCATGAATTATTATAGCTGTTTTAACATAGCAAGTAGAGGATTTTTTGCCTCAGTTTAATCTTAGCTCTATGTGGCTAAAAGTTTAAAATTTCTTTTCAAATAAAAAATAAACATGTCAATTATTTTACAACCTCATTGTCAATTTATAAAATATGTTTCCAGAAGTGTTGGACTAGAGCATTTGTACAATTAATTACATTTTATTTTATCTGTCTATTATTTTATTTCAGGATGTGCTAGGTGTAAGTGATGTCTGTGTATTCAGCACAATTTTCCCTCTTTTAGGTCTGAAAAATGTTGGTGAGTTTGCAGTTGAATCTTCATTTCAGCATATTCTATACAAAAATATTAAAAATTGTTACATATGCAGCTCTATGTCTCTTTAGCAGATGGATTTCTTTTGTCAAGATTGGCTTCCACTAAATTCTAATGTAGGAAAATATGTATAAATTGAAAGTGCATCAATGAATGATTTCTGATGGTTTAAAGATAAGAAGGCTGGGCCATTTAAAATGACCCTCATATACCATAAAGACCCAGGCAGGACAATAACTTTAACCACACATTTTAAATCTTTGCTCACTTGAATGTCTTCAAACAACACATGTGTTTACAGAAGTGATTGGCAAGCTGCCCAGCTTGCAAAAATGGTGTGAGAATCTCAAGGCTAATCCAGCAGTTCAAGAGGCAGTGAACGAAATTACAGGAGGTGGTGGTCATGAGGTTTATAAGGTGAAAATAAATGAAATAAGAACTTTGCTGGGTGTCACTTGAGATGTGTTAAAAGGCTGAATCAACTTAGAGAAAGATACAATGTACCTTGGTTATTATACACTACTACATGCACATCTTGTTCTAGAGGGATCCATAATATTTTAATACTATTGCCTCTGTATCAGATCATTTAAAAAAGTACATATTTTGCCATTTTACAAACCTGAGTTAATTATTTGGGTTATGCACTAGCATATATGTCCAAACATATCTAGAACCACTTTAAAATACTCTCCCATAATCTTCATCTTTGTCAGCCATCCCTGCTTGCTCAGAGTTTCCCTCCTGTTGTTGTCCCTGGTGTCCAAGCCAAGACAAATTCTGCCCCCACACAAGCCACATCAACTCCACAAGGGTCTGTGTCTTCAGATGATCAGGTATAAAACAAGCTCATGTCTTAGTTCTCTTTTCTTATGGTTATACTTACGTTTTATTTGATCTTTAGTGCCAAAATAATGTTTATTTGTATGTAAGTTAAGTTAGTGAACTAGAGCTCCTAAAATGCATTATTAGTACTTGTACTTTTTATCATTGAACTTTCACACAACTTGGCTGCAGAATTAGCAAGGTGTCACTGGATTTTCATTAGTTAAAGGAAATTAGAGCAATTTTCAATGATAGAAATGATGATTTTAAAATAATGATCCACTAGATTTATTGATAAGTGATATTCATACATAACTTTCATATCTCCAGATCCCAACAACAAATTTTTCCCAGGAAGACTTAGATGCAGCACTCAAAGCTTGGAAGAGAGATCCTAAAGAATGCCCCCAACCACGCATCAGACAGCATCCAATGTAAGTTCACTATTAGCTGCTTCTTTGTGTCTATGGATTTGGAAGGAGAAAAATAAAGGAGGTGGTCACAATTTTAAGAAAAAAAAAGTGAAGCTAATTTAAGTGTACCGATTTTAAATAATTTCTCTTGTGAGTTAATTTTGCTAACATAAATATATTTGAGAAATGTAATGCTAATTTAGAATATACAAAAGTTAGTTAAATATCAAATAATCCTCTTAACAAGAGAACATTTTTTAATTCAATTTAGCTGTAAGTACGACATACTAGACTATATATATATAGACTATATAAATAATAAGATCACATGACCACATCAGACACTGAGTTACATACATTGCATCTCACTGTGTCCAGACATTTGCATCTCACTGTGTCTAGACATTTGCATCTCACTGTGTCTAGACATTTGTATCTCACTTTGTCTACATTTTTATCTCAATGTGTCTAGACAATTGCATCTCACTGTGTCTAGACATTTGCACCTCACTGTATCTAGATATTTGTATCTCACTGTGTCTAGACATTTGTATCTCACTGTCTAGACATTTGTATCTCACTGTGTCTTAAAGTGTAACAAAAAACAACTCTTTCTGCAGCTTACCTGAGGCGAATTCCAGGAACATTCTAATTACCAGTGCCCTCCCATATGTCAACAATGTCCCTCACCTTGGTAACATCATAGGCTGTGTGCTGAGTGCCGACGTCTTCTCCAGGTAAACCTACTCTGTTTTGTTAATTAGGCTTTTAATTTCATTTACTAAATAGCAATCTAATTCTGGGTCAGCTCATTAGCTATGCAATTAGGACAGTGAGTGCTCAAAATTAGTTTTTAGCTTATTTGCATTTTTTTAATGCATCAGGATGTTATAAAATATACTGTTTGGAACAAACTTAAAGTACATATTTGTCAAATCCACTGTTGTTTAACTTAAATAGAAATAGTTCTGCATCTGTGTATTGAGTGAATTATGAGCTTAAGAAGTTTATTTATCAGCCCAAGTTTGCTGACCATGTTTAATGTGTTTTTTAAAAAACCAAGTGTTAACATGATTTATGAATAACATCATTTGTGCATTCCCGTCACAGGTTCGCCAGGCTGCGAAACTACAATGTGCTGTACCTGTGTGGTACAGATGAATATGGTACAGCCACCGAGACCAAGGCCATGGAGGAGGGGGTGACCCCCAGAGAAATTTGTGACAAGTACAACAAGCTGCACACACAGATCTACAAGTGGTTTAACATTGACTTTGATTACTTTGGCAGGACAACAACAGATCAGCAGACAGAGTGAGTTTGACATGATATTGTGGCAGTTGCTAAGAAAATAATAAAAAATAATAATTTTTGGTCAGTTACAGTAACAACTCTTAAACATTATTTTAAACATTAAATTCTGTACTTTGTTAGTTATTTAAAAATGATAAAATCCATTGTTAGCTTATGGGCGGTAGCTTAAGGCAGTGCTTCCCAAAATTTTAAGTTTCACAGACTGGTGGACAAGTTTCGAAACTACACCAGGGACCGGTGCTAGGTTTATAAATTACATTTTCTTTCTATTTAAACATCAATATTCATGCTCTAGGTAACGTGAGGCTTGCGGCCCTGTTCCGGTCAACGGACCACGGTTTGGGGAACACTGCCTTAAGGGGCGCTGGGCCTGATTTTGTCAGAGGACTTTAGTCTGACAACGCCTGGTCTATCTTATGTCTGCATTTACACTTTACACTCACAGTCCAGCCAACATTTCAATGGAGAATTCTATTTTTAGACTATGTCCAATTCATGACAAATCATTTTAAAATAATTTTTGTTTGACTTGTTTTCTCTCTTTCTCTATAGAATTGCACAGGACATTTTCTGGAAGTTGTACAATGGAGGTTATATATTAAAAGACAGTGTAGACCAACTCAAGTGCATTAACTGTGATAGGTGAGTTGGGCTAAAAAAATACAATGGATGGTGCTTCCATGTTTTGCCTTGAATAAAAATCTTCAGCCTTCTTGTTTGCAAAAGTAGTTTTGAAAAATCTTTTGTAGTGTGCCTGTTGTTAATGTTCATGTAAATTCTTTTGAAGACACCAAGAAAGATAAAACATTTAAGCAGGATTTCAATTAGTAAACTGTTACTTGTCCCATCAAAGCTTAAACTCACTGAACATGTATTTTATCATAAAATCGTCAGATTCCTCGCAGACAGATTTGTTGAAGGCACATGTCCGTTGTGTGGGTTTGACGATGCCAGAGGTGACCAGTGCGACGGCTGTGGTAAGCTCATCAATGCAGTGGAGCTCAAGGATCCAAAGTGCAAGATGTGCAAGAAATCACCGGTGGTCCAAACCTCTAATCACTTATTTGTCGATTTACCGAAGGTACTTGGAAAAAATAACAACAACGCAGCTGTTCTTTTATCCTCTCTTATTCCCAAGATGTATCCTGGCATCTGTAATTATTTGGTGATACAGCCATTTTTACTTAGTGTTGTCAATGCTCAAAGATGACCCAACATGTCCTGCTTCACCACACCATTATTGATCTGGTCAGTGTCAGATTTACCAGGAGATTTTTACAATTGTTTTCTTCCTCCCCAAGAACTTTGTCTTCATGGGGCTGATAAATCCATTCTATCCAACTGTTCAGCCATAGAAAGGGATGACTTTAGACAAGGCAAAAACCATCATCTCTTGTTTGAGATGCAGACAATGCTACCACACACAACAGAAATATTGTTTATTTTCAGCAGAAATAAAGAACTTAAGCATTTTTTTAATCATTAATTTTTCTTCCTCCTCTCTTAAAGCTTGAGCCTTTACTGAAAACTCACCTGAACCAAGTATTTGAAACAGGGACTTGGACAAACAATGCCAAGGTCATCACCAACTCTTGGATACGTGACGGCCTCAAACCCCGATGCATCAGCCGAGACCTCAAGTGGGGGACGCCGGTGCCGCTGGAAGGCTACACCGACAAGGTGTTCTATGTGTGGTTTGATGCTCCCATAGGATACATCAGCATTGCCGCCAACTACACTAAAGATTGGCAGAAATGGTGGAAAAACCCTGAAAACGTAAGTTCCTCAAGAGTTATTGATTATTTAACATAAGATTTACTGTTCAAATATTTCTGCTGTGAAGTATCTCAATGTAACACATTAATTAATATGAAGGTTGAAGAGCAGTTAAGTGGGTTAACAAGGTTTAAAGTTGAATATTCTTTAAAATAAGAAAAAAAGTTATTACAAGTATTTTATGTAGGTCTTGATGAGATAATCTTGGGGTGCACTAACATATTTACCATATTTTACGGACAATACAGACCTGCCAACCCTTCCCATTTGGTCGGAATTATACAGATTTTTATTACCCCTCATTCTGACCTTCAGACAAACCCCTTAAAATTCCGATTTTTGAACTTTATAATTTTTCACCCTTCATAAAAATCTGAAAGTGACCAAAAAAAAAATCTTGTACGACAGGAAGTGTTGCATTTGTTTTTACAAAGTGCATACAAGTCCGGCAACCGGACGAATAAGTGAATAAATTCTCCAGATATTTGCCCGTCTAGTATTTATTTGACCAAGTCACATGACCACGCGAGATATTTGTCCGTCAGCCTTGTCATGTGACCGCTAATAGTCTATCAGAGTTTACGGTACTTTATTTCAACTAATTCAAGATAGTCTGGCCATTTACATGAAAAAGAAATATGTTCAATTATAAAAAAAGAAATATGAACCTTTGCTGGTATAGATAGTGAACAATTGGTTACAAAGTAACAATGTTTTTTATAAAGTGTGGCATGCCCGCCAGATAAATATCTCCGGCACTATTTGTCGGGTCGCCTGATGTGTAGACACTGCCTTGTTTGTATCGAAGCGAACAGCGATCGTCAAATCATTCTTAAATCATCAATTGATTTGATCGCGATTCATCCTTTTTACAAGGCTAAAAAATAGTACAGACTTTTTTTTTTCTTTCTTTTTTTTTGTTAAAGCTTTTCTTAATTAAATCATTAAATCTATTGATAGTGATGGTTACAATGATATTACTAACCATTGAAGGAAATATTTCTCTAGCCAACTCCGATTGTTTTAATGCCAGAGTCAAAGAAATGTTTCCAGACTTGCAGACTGCTAGAAGATTCTAAAGAAAAATTTACAATGAAACAAGGGCAAGCATGAAGGTTGATACTCTTTCTAACTTGCTTGGAACTAAAATCAATGGCAATGCGAACCCTTAGTTGTTTAAAGAGCTGTTGGACAAGTGCAAAAAGGCCACTTGGGATATGCTGGAAGACTGAACTCTAAGAGTCTTCACAGCCTGTGTTTGTGTACATATGTAAATAAATGGATCTTCTGTTCTGTACTGTATATATCTGTATATAAACATTTCCAGTTATGTTTACCTCATGTTCTGTGGTGTTCTAAGGACCCTTCAAAGACAATGGCTGTAACTTTATATTTCTCTATTTACTAAAAAAGGCTTGTGCATTAATATATCGATCTTTAACCAACCCCCCACGGGGCGCCTCCCATGGAGGGGCAGTGGCCCCCACTCCCCCCCTGAGTGCAACCCCCGTACAGATTTTTTTTCTTGGCAGGTCTGCAATAAGACACACTTTTCTAACTGAAAAATTGCCTCCAAAATTCAGGTGCATCTTATACTTGAAATTAATATAATTTATATATATATATGTATGTTATTTTAAAAAAAAATTGCTTAAAAATTAAGGTGCGTCTTATAGTCAGTAAAATACGGTATTTACAGTATGATACTGTCTACCAAGTTTGGAGTGCTACTATTAACTGCTGTATTTGTTTCAAGAGTGGCATAGTTCCAGTTTTTTAAAAAATAAACTTTTTTCTTTGTATCTTGTCCAGGTTGAGATGTACAATTTCCTAGGTAAAGACAATGTACCATTCCACAGTGTCATCTTTCCTGCCTGTCTGCTTGGAGCCAAAGATGGCTATACAGTAGTAAATCACATGGTTGCCACAGGTAAAACCAGTGTTTGTCTCCTGGGTTACTTTAACCATGCTCTGGACACAAGTTAAAACTGTCATTGTGACTGTGACGGCAGCCCTGTTAGAGACTATTTGTTTTTAAAACTTATGATCTGTTTACCTCCTGATGGAAAAATCATATTTTTTATCTGGGCTTAACACACGAGAGAGAGATTATCGCATCGTTTATGTCTGCAAAGATTATATTTAAAAACATTGTTGTAGCTTAAATAATATTTTCTTCTCCAGAATATCTGAACTATGAAGACACAAAGTTTTCCAAGAGTCGTAACAGTGGTGTGTTTGGCGACCAGGCTCAAACCACTGGCATTGAATCTGATGTGTACAGATTTTATCTGCTGTACCTGAGGCCAGAATCCCAGGTCAGTTCATTTATTTTCAATGCGCACCATGTTTTAAGTAAGTTAACCATTTTTTCCCTGCAACTGCAAGGTTTGCTACTGTTTCAAAATAATGACAAGACCCCAAGTAAATATACATTAAATGAGACTCTACTTTTCTCAGTTAAATTTCTCTCGACCTAGTCTAGCCTGTCTGAGTCTACTTTGAAATAAAATCCTTAAGTATACTGTTGTTAACATCATCATTTTAAAAAAAATATTTAAAAAAACTTTTCTCCAGGACACAGCCTTCAGCTGGGATGACTTCTTACTGAAAAACAACAGTGAGTTGTTGAACAACCTGGGAAACTTTATCAACAGGTCTGTTGCACTTGTGATCAATCCATAGACACTGCTGTTGTGGATAAACAAGATAGGGTCTATGCATCCTATATCTCACATTTAAAAAAGAGTTTTAAAATCGGTTGTTACATTTTAAGAAGTAGTGGAACAAGTTATGTGGCAGCGAGAAATTTAAAGACAGGACCACAAGAGAAGAACCTTTCCTCATTCGCCCTGTCCGCTGAGGAAGGCCGTAGCCGAAACGTTCTTCTCTTACCCTCCTGTCTTTACATTTCAAGCTTCCACACACCTTGTTCCGCTATTTCCTTCACACAGCTTGAACGCAGTCCTTCATTTATTATCTGTTAAATTTTATTATTTTAATAAGGACTTGTTTCATGTTGCTTATATTCAATTTCTGCCCTCTGTATATCACTAGGAATTCTGCCTTTTGGTAATTAAAAATAACATGTTTTAATTTAGATTTCTACATCCCCTTCTTATAAGCTAAATAATAATAACTAATATGTTCCCATTATGTACATAAGAAACCATTTCTGTCCTCAGAGCACTTTTTTCCTGTTCCTTCAACCACTTATTTTAAAAAATATTGTTATTTTGTCAGGGCTCTGATGTTCCTTAGCAACAATTTTGGCGGTGTGGTCCAAGAAATGTCAGAAACTGAAGAGGACATTCAGTTGTTGGCACAAATCAACAGTCAGCTGAAGGGCTACGTCAACAACCTTGAGGCTTGCAGGTATGGCTAGCGCACCATTATGATACATTCTTTTATGGCATGGAATAAGTTATTGACTCAGTAAATAAGGAAATGTTGTTAGCATTTTAACATGCCAGCTTTTATTCATCAGTACACCTGAGTATGAGTATCATTAACAAGTATTGTTTCATATTTTAAGTTTTTGTATCTGTAACCTCCTGCTAATGCAAGCCAATATCTCTAGATTGAGGGATGGCATCAGAAATATTTTGACAATCTCCCGACTTGGAAATCAATACATGCAGAATAACAAGCCCTGGGTGCTAGCTAAAGGAACAGAAGAAGAAAAGTAAGTTGTCTAATTAAGTACGGGTTCTCAAACTATCCTGAAAAAAAAAAGCCTTACCTTGATACTTCAATTGCATGCAGGACCACTGTGCATGATTAAGGGACATCCCTTATTTGAATGTGAACAAGACAAATCACTAAGTGAGCCACAGGGGAAAACTTAGTCTCAATAAATTCATTTAAATTTAAGCTGCTGTTACCAATAGATTGAAAATTTAGACCACTTACAAACATTATTTATATTAAGAAAAATAGTTTCAAAAAGTTTCTCTAACCAAAAAAAAAACATTTGCTTTTATGCTGAAACAAAAAAAACAAAAACAACCTTTGATAAAGATTGCAGTGAATTTCCTACAATCCTTGCAGGAAGCGTGCTGGTACTGTGGTGAGTTTGTGCACCAATGTCTCCTGTCTGCTGTCTGTTTTACTGCAGCCTTACATGCCGTCCACCAGTGCTGTCCTCCAGGAACAGCTTCAAGCCCCGCCCTCCGTCAACTGTTTATCTGGCGAGTTTGTTGCTTCGCTGCGTCCTGGCCACAAGATTGGACAGGTAGGGAGACTACACATTTTTTTTACTTACAATCGGATTGCCCACATTAATATTTTATTCCAGCAGTGTTCAAGCTAAGAAGAGAAGTTAGTTAAAAAACAAAGAGTTTTGAATTCGTTAATATTCTGTAACCCTTTTGTTACCAAACATTTTCAACCCTCTGCTTGGCTGGATTTTTTGCTCTGACATAACGAAAAGAGAGTTAGGTTTTAGTTTTCCTTTTGGGAAGATTGCCTGTAATTTTTAAAAAATATCCTAGCCATATTGGACCAAAAACTCATCTTTGGATAAAGCCTTAGAATTTGCCGACCAGGGTCACTTCTAGCAGTGCTAGTGCAGGAAATATGTTTTTTTTTAAAAAGTATTTGCAATGAACATAACATGAATTCAGTTCTCAATAATCATATCTAACCTATCTGTCAGTGGAGGTCTTTGAGTGATAGATTTCTAAGCAAGCTTTTCACAATATAATTAGTCTTTCGATAGTATATGGAAGTCATCATTTGACCATAACTTGTCACAGTTTTGGCTACAGGGCTGTTTAAAGTTAGATTTGATCACAACCTAGAGAGTCAAATGAGATTTTTAACATTGTTTTTTCCCCCATCAGCCAAGTCCATTGTTCCAGAAAATTGAGGCAACAACTATTGCAGAACTGAAAACAAAGTTCGCTGGCAAACCAGAAGAGAAACCTGCTCCCAAGGTGAAATAAAGTACTTCTTTTTAAAAAATCTGTTTCAAACTTCTTTGCAATTTTTGGGCATTACAGTTGAGAGATATCATATTAAGCTATGGGATAATGGTTCACATTTAAAATGATTAATTGGGGTATTGAAGACATATTCAACTAGAAATAAATAATTTACTTTGCCCATTTAAAAATGTTTTTTTTGTGTGTGTTCAATTTAACATTCTTAGACCTGTCTAATTTTTAATGAATTAGTTTTACTTTCTGAATATTTATGATTGAGTTTGAATCCTTCTCAGAAACAAGGTAACAAATCCCCACCAGTGGTCAGCTTGACTGCTAACCCACTTGAAGTAGACAGACTGACAAAAGCTGTGGCAGATCAGGTGAGACAGTAGGAGATACTCACCGCATCCCTCTTTTAAAAATATAAAATACAAATACTAAAATGATTCATTGAAATAAATGTTTAATTTTTCTGTTAAAAGATTTAAATTTAAATCACTGCTTTATAATTCAATATGGAGTTCTTTTTTTTTTTATATACTCATTTCAGCAATAATTCAGTAATTTGCATTTATTATAAAACCTTTTAAAACAAGTGCAGAGTTATTAATAAGTTGCACAACTAATGTTTTTTCTCAGGGTAATAAAGTCAGACAGCTCAAAACTGCCAAGGCAGACAAATCTGAAATTGATCAAGAAGTGGCCACCCTTCTTCAGCTGAAGAAAGATTTAACAACTGCTCAGGGGCAGGCTACTGAGCCTGTAGCAGCAGACAAGGGAAATAAAGTTGGAAACGATAAGAAGCTGGATGCACCAGAAGGGACCAACACAAACGGTCAAGCTGGTGATGCTGCTACTATGATTGAGAGGTTAACTAAAGAAGTAGCTGACCAGGTAAGGGGATATCTTCAAATTGTATTGCACCACCATTTGGACACAGATATACTATGACAGAACACAGCTCTAAGCCTTGAAATCTAGGCACTTTTTGAATCTAAAATAGGATTCAATAAGTTGAATGTCAATTTCAACCCCTTAATGCAGTCTTCAACTATTACCTTATCATCATTGGTTAAGAGAAATTACAGGTTTTTTTAGTCTATTACCTTTGGCTAAGATAAAATTATATCTAGTTTTAATGTGCACTTTGTGATACAATAATATGAGATTTATTCTAAACTTTGATTAATTTTTCTAATAGGGGGGGGGGGGNGTCATTTAGGATTTTGTAAGAGATTTTATTTTACATTTTGTGCTACGCAATTGTATTTTTTTTTTTTTTTTTTTTAAAATTTTATTTTTTGATTTTTTTTTTAAACTTTTTATAAAAATTTTTTTTTTTTTTTTTTTTTTAATCTTGTTTTTGGACGATGACTATTGCAAATATTTTTGCTGTTCATGAATTTAATTTTTTTCCTCAGGGTAATAAAGTGAGAGAAGCTAAAAGCTCCAAAGCAGAGAAGTCCATCATCGACAGAGAAGTTGCACATTTGCTGCAGCTGAAGGCAGATTTGGAGCAAGCCCAAGGAATAACTAAGGGAGCTGCACCACCGGCCAGTGGGAAGAAGGGGAAGAAGAAGAAATAACTTTTGAGAATCTTGCAATGGATAACTTCCCTTGAATTGGCGTAGTGGCCATCAGATATTTATTAAAATATTGTGTACTGTTATAAATTATGAGTGGAATGAGGAGTTAATCTTAAATCTGAGATTGGTTGGACTAGATGCCATGAGAACGTTCCAAAGTCTGTCATGGTTTTGAAAATGTAAAAAGAAAACCCCAGTAAATTGTATGACTTTGTACCCGTCTATGAAATATTGATTTACAAACTATTTCTGTTGACCTCTGCAGAACCACACGCCACCAATGTTGAACTTTTATCACACATTACATTTTTAACACCTTTTGAGCTAATATTAAATGACAAGGACAAATGATGCCCGGATATATGATTATTTGTGTGCAAATGCAGATTTAAAAGTAAGATGAAGGATTAACAAACGAAAGACCTGTTTATTTTTAAATGTATTTGTCTTTTGTTACCCATAAAGTCACGATTAAATTAAGTAACGATTTTTTGGAGCTATGTATAAAACAGTTATTTCAATAGCACATCATTCTCTTAATGTTTTATTATTTTGGTTACTCTGTGATTACATTTAGGAGAGAATCATCTTAAAGTTTTAATTGTTTTAAATTGAAATTAAAGTCATGTATTTTTTTTGTTGTTGTGGAGGATGTGTCAATCCCTTGAGTTGAACGGACAATGATTTCTTTGGATAAAGCCCAAACATTCGTAAGGTCAACCCTGTTCAGAATTCACTATGGTTAATATGTAAGTCTTTAGAAGACGATTCAAGGAGAATGAGGTTATTTTGGGGTGAAAGTGTAATGAAACCTTTGCTCAGCACAATTTTTTTGTCTGTGTTTTATTGTTACATAGTTATGATTTCAATTAATTTGTGAGTTTTTGAGAAAAATATAGCAATTATATAATAGTGCTTTAAAATGTTTTTAAAAATACAAAAATGATCGCTTTAATTTTTCTTAATTTATGTTACAGTGGTTAACCAGGGGTGGGTCGACATTCAGGGTTGTAGGTTACCACCAACTACAGCCATGGGGTAGGTTTGAATTCAGTAGTTTACCACCCGCTACAGCCATGGGGTAGGTTTGAATTCAGTAGTTTACCACCCGCTACAGCCATAGGGTAGGTTTGAATTCAGTAGTTTACCACCCACTACAGCCATGGGGTAGGTTTGAATTCAGTAGTTTACCACCCGCTACAGCCATGGGGTAGGTTTGAATTCATTAGTTTACCACCCGCTACAGCCATGGGGTTGGTTTGAATTCAGTAGTTTACCACCCACTACAGCCATGGGGTAGGTTTGAATTCAGTAGTTTACCACCCACTATAGCCATGGGGTAGGTTTGAATTCAGTAGTTTACCACCCACTACAGCCATGGGGTAGGTTTGAATTCATTAGTTTACCACCCGCTACAGCCATGGGGTAGGTTTGAATGCAGTAGTTTACCACCCACTACAGCCATGGGGTAGGTTTGAATTCAGTAGTTTACCACCCACTATAGCCATGGGGTAGGTTTGAATTCAGTAGTTTACCACCCACTACAGCCATGGGGTAGGTTTGAATGCAGTAGTTTACCACCCACTACTGCCCTGAAAATGTTTACCTGACTCAAGAATTTTTGAAATTTGCACAAAAAACATTCTATAAAGTATCAATCAATAATTGCACTCTCACAAAATCACACAAAATCTCCCCCTGCAGCTAACCAGCCAGCTTAGTGTTATGTTATAACCAGCTATCTGTAGTGCTTTGGTAGTATTGAGTTGCCAAAATATAATCAAGGTTTTCAAGTGTTTAAGATAGACTTTCTTTCTTTCTTTTTTTACTAAATATTAATTAACATTTATTAAGTTTATCAATCATTATTTTTTTCCTTCTATGAAACTATCAGCGTAAGGAAGCAACTACTATGACAACGATTTCACTATTAGTAAGAATTCTAATCCATCTCATGAAAACTTGCAGCAAAGCCAACATTTTTAAGTTACCATAGTTTGATTATTTTTCTTCAAAGTTTTTTTTTTTTTTTCATGTATCTTTCAAGGAAAACACATGCTCATCTCAGTGACAATAATTGGACATTTTTTTTAAAGCTGAAATATCCCATCAGACATGTGATCATCTCAGTGAGAATGATTGGACATTGTTTGAAGTTGAAGCTTAAATGTCAACTTCTACCAGTGGTATTTAAAATTAAAATTTCAAAATTTTCAACAATGTTTGGCAGGCAGCCTGACTTAAAAATATGCCTGGGATCCAAGCTTTAAAAATAATTGTGTGTTCCTCATGTCAAAAAGGATGAAATTATATTTTAAAAAATGGACAAACCAGGTATTTGTTAATTTTTGATATCTTTTTTGCTTGTTTCTGGATTTTATGGACTTGGAGGCAGACAATTTTAAAACTCATGTTGATCCATATAATATAACATATTGTTATTGATAACATTGTCCAGTACGTCTGTGAGTGATCTGTAGTGTCAATGAAAATAATGAACGGTGATTTATAGAAATAAAAACCATGTCATATCATACCTTGTCTACAGTTACTATTTATATTAACATTTCCATCACATTTATCTGTATGGTAGGTCGCGTTCCCTGGGCAAGGGGTGTCTCTCTTTTAACTACTAGTCGTGTCTTGTTACACTTAATCTCTGACAAGCGCCCTCACATTTTTTACATCTGCCTCATTCCTCAAATATCGTCAAAAGGTTTGTTCTTTTCTTAAATGCCTGTTTTTGAGAATCGATTCCCTGCACCTATATTCTCCCATAAATATTGCCACTGTCGTTTAAGTCCTATGCTGCACAGAGCACAGCTTTCTTGGGAACAAACAATATTTTTAAAAAAAAAGAAAAAGATTTACAATTCAGTTGTCCCATAAATAAGATTTTTATTTCAATGCTGTAGTAATAGCATAATGCCAAACACAACAGGCAACTTTAACCTTCAGAATAGAAGAAGTTATCAAATTAAAGATTATTTTTTTTTACAATGAATTCAAACATGATTACTATATTGTAATGCCTCTATTCTCCCCACAATTGACCACATGGAACCATTCACAGTGGGCAACATTTGGTGGTTTAAATTTAAAAAAATTATTATCATATTTTAAAAGTAGTTCAATAATTGCGATTGAATTTTAAGAAATAACATTTAGAAGCTTCTTGGGACAGAAAAGAAGGGTAAAAAAAAGTAGAGACGCAGGTAATGTTATTTTTAAACTTTAAAAAACATTTTACAGGATTTTTAAGCCACTAATGGGCTGTATCACAGGTTGAGTAAATGAGTGTCATAATATTACAAGATAACAAAAAGGCCAAATTTATTAAAGTAGGGCTTCTCAGAGTGGTTGTCTGCCAGCCTGCACCGTGTCTGCTATCCCTCTGTCTTCGTTCTACAAAAAAAATAAATAAAAAAGATTGACAATTTAATTAGATCGAAAAATGAAAATTAATAAATTGGGCACCTGTGCCTGCTGCAATGCTTAACGGTGTACCGCTGAAAAATTTGAGAAGCACTGCGTGTAAAAAAAAAATGGTCCAAGATGAAAAATCCACCGTGATCTCCTCTGACCGTAGAGCAGGTCCTGCTAGGGACCATTTGAGTGTTGGTCCTAATCTAACCTTCCATTTACTTTATGATTTGAGGTTCTTCTTGAAGTGTGCCGCCAAGCGCGGGTGGTTGGCGATGATCTGCATCAAGCACAGCAGGTACTTGTGCTGTATCAGGATGTTGTCCAGGGGCAGGTAGTAGCGGTACTGGTCAACAAAGTCGTAGATGGCCAGGTCGGCCACGGACAGGCCCGAGGCCAGAATGAAAGGGCCCGGCGAGGCGTAGATTTGCTCGTCCCAGAACTTGAAGTGCGATGGTAGCATAACCTTGACACAGAAAAAGGTAATTAATAAATAAAATATTTATACAATATGTATAGTCTTAGGCTGTGAGGTTGACAGAGGTAGTGGTAACAGAACGGTAGATAGAACGGTCGATAAAGCCATATTGCAAATTCAAAGAGTTTCAACAAAAATTATAATGGGGCTAATGTTTACACAAACCTTACGGCGAAACATTCACATAAAGCATTTTAATATTATCCTAAAAAGAATGTTACCGCAACATAGCTGATGAAAATTGTTAACGTCGTCTTAGAAAGAATTTTATCGTGACCTGAAATTCTTTTCTTACCGTCATGACTTGCTCATAGTTATCGTCGGGTCTCTCCTGATATTCTTCGTACGCCTTCTGCATGACGTCAGACTCTTTGAGATCATTGACCTCAAGGAGAAGAGAATATAAAGATAATTAAACTGTAAGCCTTATTCATTTAGTACATCGTCACCAGAGGATGGCATTATCTTATGTCAGTCGCAACATAAGTAAGGCATTTCCACAGATTTCACAGAATTTCAGGGGAGATAAAAAGATTGAGTCGATCATTGGAAAGTGTTGCTGCCCTTCAAATTAAAATTTTCCTAGTAATCCAGGTATAAATTATATAGTGAACGATTTCTTTCTTGTTTGATACTAATCTTTCTTCGACGATGTTCAGGCATAAGTTGACACATACAATTGTGATGCTGAATCGCTGACCCATCTCATCCAAACCGACCAGCACTGACTGACTCACTGATCCACCTCACCCCACTGACAGCACTGACTGAATCACTGACCCATCTCACCACACTGACTGAATTACTGACCCACCTCACCACACTGACCACACTGACTGAATCACTGACCCACCTCACCACACTGACCAGCACTGACTGACTCGCTGACCTACCTCACCACACTGACCAGCACTGACTGACTCACTGACCCACCTCACCACGCCGACCAGCACTGGCCGACTCACTGACACACCTCAACAAACCAACCAGGACTGGCTGACTCACTGACCCACCTCACCACACCGACCAGCACTGGCTGACTCGCTGACCCACCTCACCACACCGACCAGCACTGGCTGACTCGCTGACCCACCTCACCACACCGACCAGTACTGGCTGACTCACTGACCCACCTCAACACACCGACCAGGACTGGCTGACTCCCTGACCCACCTCACCACACCGACCAGGACTGGCTGACTCGCTGACCCACCTCACCACACCGACCAGCACTGACTGACTCGCTGATCCACCTCACCACACCGACCAGCAGTGGCTGACTCGCTGACCCACCTGGTGCAGCACGGCCTCGGCCAACAACATCTCCGTCTCGGTGGTCCCGAGCAACGTCAGGTGGTTGGCCAGGTGCCGCACGATGGCGTTCGTCTCGCCGTAGACGTTGTGGTCGATCCACAGCACCGGCAGGTTCCCGTACGGCATTTTACACATCAGGGACTTCCAGTCGACGTCCACCAACAGATGGTCCTCAAACCTGGAAGAACGGACTCACTTTCAATGGGAAAGGAACAGTGCCGCTTTATGTTTTAATCAATTACTTTAAACCGTTTAAGAAAATAATAAACAAACAAAAAAGTCAGTCAAATGATTCAGAATTAATCAATATATTTTTGTACTCTTAAATAATAAGACGTCTTAAACTTTTTTTCTGATGAGAACAAAGTGAGAACCATGGACATTAAAATAAATTCAAAGCATCTTGTGGCCAAAGTGCAAACTGTAGCCTCCAACAAAATTGCAAACTGGGGCCTACATCCAAAGTGCAAACTGCAGCCTCCAACCAAATTGCAAACTGGAGCCTAAATCCAAATTTCAAACTGCAGCCTCGAAACGAAGTGCAAACTGTAGCCTCCAACCAAATTTCAAACTTAAGCCTCCAACCAAAGTGCAAACTGTAGCCTCCAAACAAATTGCAAACTGGTGCCTAAATCCAAAGTGCAATCTGTAGTCTTCAACCAAAGTGCAAACTGTAGCTTCCAACTGAAGTGCAAAATGTAGCCTCCAACCAAATTGCAAACTGGGGCCTAAATCCAAAGTGCAAACAGTAGCCTCCATCCAAAGTGCAAACTGTAGCATCCAACCAAAATTCAAACTGGGGCCTAAATCCAAAGTAAAAACTGTAGTCTCCAACCGAAGTGCAAACTGGAGCCTCCAACCAAATGTGTTGGTGTTGTTTTAAATCTCAAAAAAATTAAAATAAAAAAAAAATTTGGAAACGTAAAGTGATGCGCTCTTTTAACTTTATTTTTTATTTTTTGTTGTTTTTTTTTTTTACAGAAATTGTTTTTTGTTTTTTTTGTTTGTTGGTTTTGAATTTCGGGGGTGCGGGATGAATAGCGGTGTCTTAGCGAGTTTGTAGCTTTCTATTCCGAACGTCAGCGGTCTGCACCACATCTGCCATTTACACACAACACCGCCCCATCTGAAAGTATCGTGCCTATACGGTTAGACTCGAATGTATCGTAACTACATCGTTTGACTCGACAGTATCGTAACTATAGGGTTGGACGCGACAGTATCGTAACTATAAGGGTTGGACGCGATGGCACTAGTCAAAATCGTCAAGCATGAAGACTCACGGGATGGAAGCGTAGGTCAGCACCAGGCGTATCAGCTCAGCCGCGCCTTTCTTCTGTCTGGCCAGTATCCGGAACCTGGAGAGGCCGAGGAAGTGGGTCCTCTGGGGGTGGGACAGGAAGAAAATTGTTGCAATAACGGAAATAAGGAAACAGTTCGTTTGCACTAGCATGCACATTGTCATACCCAGCTCTAAAAAAAAAAAAAAAAAAAAA